TGTTGCTAAGTTTCAAGTGCCCAACGCAGAGTGTTTCACTAGTGTGTGTGCATATGTTTTTGTAAACAGTCCTTATTTCCCCGTATGTACTAATATTATTTATTGTTCCTTTTGGGTTCCCCCTGTACTGTTTATGGGTTTAAAATTCGTTCAAAAAAAAAATAATAGGTTCGCCCATATGCCCCTCCCCTTTAATTATTAAATGCCCGTAAAAGTGCTTTTTCAATTTTGATAGTCGAGGAGGTGACCCCCAATTCCCGCTAGAGACGTATATTGACCCAGCAAATCAAAAAGGTGAATATTATTGCGGCTGGCAGTGGGTAAAGTTGTGGGTCTGTCCTGTCCCAGAAATTGAGAAATTTGTGTTTGGTAATTTTTCCACTAACTTCCCGTAGCAATAGTCCTTTGCTCTTCTAATTTTTCCTCGCTCATTATTTCTGAACATCTTACATTTCTTTCCCCTGGCTTGAGTCGCATTATTTTTCAAAACCCCCCTGCGTTATTTTGGCAACATTTTTTGGCCCCCACACAAGTTACCCTTCCAACGGCCCCCACAAAAAATCGCCAATATTTCCCTTTTTTTTCTTTTTTGTGATCACATATTTCTTTTTTTGGGGCCCTTAAATGATTATATGCACTCTTTTGCGTGCAACGCCTATTCCCACTTTTTCTTATGGCCAGTCAGAAAATTTCCCCCAAAAACGATCTCAAACCCCGTTTACTTTCACGAGGGGGTTTTGGTGTTTTGGGGTACGTCGTTATGTGACTACCTATTTGTGGTTTGGGGGTTGAGTCATAGTCCGGGGTGCCTCTTCATTTTGCTAAGGCCTCTCTCTCCTGCTCCTGAGCTTTATCAACCTTGCTTAAAACTATGTATGGTTCCGCCTCCATAGTCCCTTTCTAGGCTTTCCCCGGCCCCCGGCTTTGATGAAGAAATATTCCCAACATCCCTTTGATTATCGGTCTTCAACTTCCAATTGGACCTTTTGTTTCTTGTCCCATCTCTGGAATTCCCCTCTTTCCCACCTTTTCTATTCCCGCAGTATTTTTTAAACGTTATCATGTCTCCCTGCCCTCCCGTCCCAGGTCGTGGCCCCCTTTCCCCCAACTTTCTTCATAGGACATTCCCTTAGCCTTTGGGGGTCTTGCGCAAACCTTTGCACTTTCCTTAATTTTTTGAGTCCTTGACCAGGTGTGGATTCCAAGGGGTGCTGTACTCCGTATGGGGCTGCATAAATGGTATACAAGTCTTGAAGTTCCTTACTGAGGTATCGGAATGTATCCCTAGGTTTGCCCCGAGGCCCCTATGCTGCGCAGTTATCTGATTGTGTGCGTCAGGGGATATGTCGGTGTTATATTACCCAGATTTTTTCCTTGGGAGGTTTGCGTCTTTGGCCTCTAGATATTTTGTGTCTGCAGTCTTTTTTGCCCTTCCCAATCTTATGACTTTTCATTTTGGCGGGTTAAATTCAAGGGCCCGTTTCGGACCCCGCCTTGTAGCGTCCAGGTCTTTTTAGCCCGCCTGACCCGTCCGATTTGATTCTTTATTTAAATTCCCCTCATCTGCAAACAAAAACACTTCTGGTTATCCTTGGGTTTTGTCTTCAATTAAACCCAAAAACAGCACAGGCCCAGGGTGCCCCCGTGGGAACCCGCTTGTCCGGGCCCCTCTGACACCTGTCACGTCCTGCTCATTGTTGCCCCCCTGTGGTTTTTTTGTCCATTGCGGCCCTTTTTTGTTATGTGTGCGATCCTTAGCTTTTGCAGTAACCCCCTTGTGAGGAACTGTGTCGAAGGCCCTTTTTGCAGTCCAAAAAAAATTTCAGCGATCCACCCCTCTTCCCCTTGTCTTATTCTGTACTTTTATAAAAAATTCGTGGTTTGGACCAAAAGGGTTTTCCTTCCTGAACTGTGTGGTTGTCAATTTTACGCTTGTTTCTTTCCGGTGCCCCCACCACTTCCTCCTGATGATTTCTCCCTGACTTTTTCATACTTACCGTTAGGATACAGGTCTGTAGTTTGTGCCTCATTCTGTCTCCTTTTTAAAAAAGGGTCATTTGCCCTCTTCCAACCTCAGGGAGTTGCCCATGAATGGTGTGTTGAAAATTTTGTTAAAGGCACAACAGCATCTTGCTCCCTTTAAGGACCCAGGAGAGATGTTGTCTGGTCCCCGCCCTTGGGCGTTAAGTTCACTAGCAGCTTCTTCACCTCCTCCTTGGTTATGTGTACCTCATCCAGCACTTGTTGGTGTATCCCCCTGTTCTGATTTCCTGGAGTCCTACTGGTTTCCACTGTAAATACTTCTTTAAATCTCGTGTTGAGCTCCTCACATACCTCTCAGTCGTTTCTTGTGAGCTCCCCATCACCCTTCCTCAGTCTGATTACCTGGTCCTTGACTGTTGTTTCCCCCTGATGTGGCTATACAACAGCTTCGGGTCAGACTTGACTTTCGATACTATGTCATTTTCATATTGTCGCTGAGCCTCCCTTCTTATCTGTGCATATTCGTTTCTGGCTCTTCGGCTAATCTCTTTATTTTCCTGAGTTCTCTGTCTTCTGTACCTTTTCCATTCTCTAGTGTGTGTGTGTGGTGTGTGTGCGTGCATGCATGTGCAGACATTATAATTCAGATGACCCTCTGAGGTGTAATATTTGCACCCTCTCCAGAGTGCAAGCATTGTACTTCCTACCTCTGGGACTCGGTCCAGCTTATCAGTTTCCTCTGAATCCCTTTATAAATGTTATCTTAATCACAACAGTATGTCAAATATCTAAAACTTCCTTCATGCTCTCCCTCCAGCCCTTCCTGGGGTGACCCCTACCCCTTCCTTCCACCCATAATATATAAACCCTCTTGGTCACTCTATTCTGCTCTATCTATAAATCCTCAAACCACCTCAACATCCCCTCCTCCGTCCTTTGAGTAATACCTTTCATAAACCCACTGTCGTCTAATTTCTGTGGTCCGAATTCTTTGCACAATAGTCATTACACATTGTTCTTAATCATGACATCTCTACTGCTTCTAGCCTTCTCACTGCAATGTTTAATGCCCATTCCTCGTACCCATTTATAAGGGTTGGTACTACTACATTCTGGTATATTCTTCTTTTTACCTTTATGGATAAAATTTCTCTCCACAGATGCCTCAACACGTCAACATTTTTTCCCTTCGTCTATTCTACGGTTCGCTTCATATTTCATTAACGCATCTGCCAACGAATCCACTCTCGGATACCCCAGATTGTTCACTCCCTCCAATCTGACATCCAATCCAACCTTTATAACTTCTCTTCAGAATCTTCCAAAAGAAATGTCATCAGCAGCGAGCAACTGTGACAACTCCCGCTTTGTATCAGATTTGTGAAATTTCAATCCTTCACCTCTTCTCAGCACCCTGGCATTAATGGACACACACTTCCCCCAATTAATCAGTTAAATAAAGGTTTTACTTATTACCTGCTCCATACATTTGCTGTCATGTTGCTTCCCTGTCCACCCTATCATATGCCCTTTCTAAATCTATATAAATGTGACAAATGGTTCCTTACCCTTTTCTAAGTTTTTTTTTTTATTATCACACTGGCCGATTCCCACCAAGGCAGGGTGGCCCGAAAAAGAAAAACTTTCACCATCATTCACTCCATCACTGTCTTGCCAGAAGGGTGCTTTACACTACAGTTTTTAAACTGCAACATTAACACCCCTCCTTCAGAGTGCAGGCACTGTACTTCCCATCTCCAGGACTCAAGTCCGGCCTGCCGGTTTCCCTGAACCCCTTCATAAATGTTACTTTGCTCACACTCCAACAGCACGTCAAGTATTAAAAACCATTTGTCTCCATCACTCCTATAAAACACGCTCGCGCATGCCTGCTGGAAGTCCAAGCCCCTCGCACACAAAACCTCCTTTACCCCCTCCCTCCAACCTTTCCTAGGCCGACCCCTACCCCGCCTTCCTTCCACTACAGACTGATACACTCTTGAAGTTATTCTGTTTCGCTCCATTCTCTCCACATGTCCGAACCACCTCAACAACCCTTCCTCAGCCCTCTGGACAACAGTTTTGGTAATCCCGCACCTCCTCCTAACTTCCAAACTACGAATTCTCTGCATTATATTCACACCACACATTGCTCTCAGACATGACATCTCCACTGCCTCCAGCCTTCTCGCTGCAACATTCATCACCCATGCTTCACACCCATATAACAGCGTCGGTAAAACTATACTCTCATACATTCCCCTCTTTGCCTCCAAGGACAAAGTTCTTTGTCTCCACAGACTCCTAAGTGCACCACTCACCCTTTTCCCCTCATCAATTCTATGATTCACCTCATCTTTCATAGACCCATCCGCTGACACGTCCACTCCCAAATATCTGAATACATTCACCTCCTCCATACTCTCTCCCTCCAATCTGATATCCAATCTTTCATCACCTAATCTTTTTGTTATCCTCATAACCTTACTCTTTCCTGTATTCACTTTCAATTTTCTTCTTTTGCACACCCTACCAAATTCATCCACCAATCTCTGCAACTTCTCTTCAGAATCTCCCAAGAGCACAGTGTCATCAGCAAAGAGCAACTGTGACAACTCCCACTTTATGTGTGATTCTTTATCTTTTAACTCCATGCCTCTTGCCAAGTATTGTTCTCTAAATGGAATCTCTACTCTGGAATCCTACTTTCTTACCCCCTAACTCTCTTATTAATTATTCTGTTGAATAAAACTCATGTGCAATTTAAGTGTTACACATGTCTTGCTCATCTCATCAGTATTGCATAACATTAATTTGTGAATAATTCTGTTATTCACTCTACCTGGCATTTTCAACAGGCATATTTCCCTATAATTCTTACATTCTTGTCCCCTTTACCTTGTACAAAGGAGCACTGCATACTCTGAATATAAAAATAATTTTCTTTTGCAGAAACAGGATTTGTTCTTTACTCATTGATTGTAAAGATTTAATACATAGTATTCTTTCTGTTTTAGGTGAAACTCAGCCAAATGAGCAGTCAATAAAGGCCAGTATTGAGGCAGTAGTGAGTAGAGCTCGAGAAGAAGCAACAGAAAAAAAGGATGATTCTGATGAATCTGCATCATCCAGCTCCAATACCAGTTCTTCTGACAGTGACTCTTCTGGAAGTAAGTACAATAATAATAGCATTAATGACTTTCAATTTCATTTATAGGGCTCCTGTTATTTTTATATAATAGCTTCATTCCAGGGCAAGGAATTGCCTGTTCGCTTTTCTTCAGAGCAAGGAATTGTGTGATAGTTTCTTTGCAAAGCAGGGAATTTGTGACAGCTTCTCCCAGAGCAGGAAAATTTCATGTCAAATTTGTTTGAAAAAGTTATCTATTGATTTGGAATATAGTGGATCCTCAGTTATTGGTTGTAATCTGTTCCAGAAGGTCGGCCTAAAACCGAAATGGCCAAAAACCGAAATAATATTTCCCATAAGAATTAATGTAAATACAGTTAATCCGTTTCAGGCACCCAAAAATATTAACAAAAAATACATTTTTTTAAAGATTAACAATAGTTTTACATACACAAAACAGTGAGAACTAAATAAAATGACTAATGGATAAATGAACATTTAAATCACTTTTACCTTTATTGAAGAGTCTTGTTGGCGTATACAAAATGGGGAGGAGCAGAGAGGGAGGCGAGTTTATTGTTTGGAGAAGGACAATATGCTTAAATATGATGCTATTATCAACTCCACGGCTTATTTATCTATCACAGTTCATCTAATATAATGTAATAAACAGTATTAATAACATAGAAACATGATATATACTCTAGAATGAATAACATGTCATTATGTATGTGAGGACTGGTGGTGGTGGTGTTGGATTTATAAGGGCCACTGACAGCATAAGCCGTACATATAGTGGTAGCGGCGGCTCTGCTACCGCCACTACTCACACTGAAACAGTGTATGTAATATATAAATAAGAAATATTTACACTTTAATTTATAAATAAGAAATATTTACACTTGATAAATAAGAAACATTTACACTTACTGTACCTTAAAGGAGATGCTGGTATTGGTTTAGGGTGGTGGAAAATAGGCAGGGTGGCATATATTATCAGTTGTCCTATATACCTCCAACAACATTGGAGGAGTCAGTTTCGTGTCTTCCTTTTGCTATCACTTAATCACTTAACTTACGTGCTACACTTTATCACTGGTTGGCGCAATACCCTTTATCGACTAATGCTGCTTTAGTATCGTACATATCGTAGAATCACTGAAGAAAGCACATTCTTCCCTCTCTCTTCCTCCTTCACTTTCGTACTTTGCTATTGGTGGACGCGTCCAATACAAACAATAACCAAAATAACGGCCGATAATCGGGATAAAATTTCGGCCAAAAAATCGGGCTATAACTGAATTGGCCGATATCCGGAACGGCTGATAACTGAAGGTCCACTGTATATTGAGAGTGGATTAGGGTGTCCCCCCAATGTGGCGAAATATCTTTCACCACATTGCTGTCATTGTTACATGTTGAAAGGTTCATATTCTTGCAAAAAATTAGGCTTCAGACAATATGTAGAGGTAGAAAAAATTTTTGCATTATTGCATGTGCTTTTGGGAAATTTGTGCAAATTGGGTACCTGCCCGAAATGCAAATTCTGCCCCCTTCTTTTGGGGGTTGAAATGTTTCATATATCAAAAATGTAACGGGGACAACCAAAAGGGGAAAAATTGACTTTTCCCCTTTTTTTTTTTTTTTTTTTAAAAATTTTTTTTTGACCTGCATTTAAACGGGTTTTCAAAAATTTTTTCCTACTTTCTGCAGCCGGGCCGGGAAACCCGGGCTTCTTTGGGGGCTTACCTCGTATATTTATTACAGTCTGGGGGGGTTTGGGGAGGGTTTTTTTTAAATTAGGAACAGTGAGCATTAGGAGCAATTTTTATGGAAAACCCTTTAAAAAAAATTAAAAAAATATTGAGAGAAGCATTCTCCCGTTTTTGACAGGGCACGGGTTTCCCACGTCATGTAAAAGTAAACGGAAAAAGTGACGGGGAAAAAGAGGAAATTTTGGGGGTGGGGGTTGTGATGATGGTGCAGTAGGAATGAAGAGGAAAATGGAAAAGGGTTTGAAGATGAAGGAATGATGCAAAAAAATTTTTTCCCCCAAATTACTCAAAATAATGAAAAAAACCCTTACCACTCCCAGAAACCCTCCCTCCAGATTTTTACACAGGTTTTTTAAATTGATTTTTAATTAAATTTTTAACCCCATGAAATTTTATTACAAAAATTTGGGGCCCCCCCCTTTTTTTTGGGGGATCCCCTTTTTTTTTTTCCCATATAATTTGGGGTTTAAACCCCTTTAAAAAATGGTAAAAAAGTTTATAACTTTTTTTTTAAAACATCTGAAAGTTGTAAAAAAATGTAAAAAAATTTTTTTTTTTAACATGGGGAAAATGTGAAAAAAAAAACTTTATCTACATTTTTTTTTTTGTTATATTTGAAAAATTGAAAAAAAAATTAAAAAAATTTTTGTGGGAACTACGAATTTTGAATCGACCCTTTTTTGGGGGCCCTTTTTAAAGGGTTAAAAAAAGGTTTTCTTTTGGGGGCCCTTTTCTTTTGTTTCGTAAATTTTTTGTAAAAAACCCCCAAACTAATTTAAAAAAAATTTTTCGGTAATAAAAAAATTTAAAGGAAGGGGGGCCGCTCGTCAAAGGGGTTTTCCAGTAAAAAGTTCTTCCAAGGGTTTTTTCTTCAACAAATTTTAATTTTAAGGTAAACAGAGTCCCAATTTTTGGAAAAAAAAAGACAATAAAATAGGGTGAAAATTTGTTTCGATTTTTGGGAGGGACGGGCTTGGGGATATTTTTCCCTACTTTTGGATGTGTGGGAGAAAATTCATGGACATGAAAAGAGATGGAAAAAACTACTCTTGGCTCATAAAAATAGAATTAACCCTTTCGGGTTTTTCCGGGGACAACTTTTTTCTTTTCCCACACCAGGGTTTTTGACGTACTAGTACGTGTAAATTCTAGTCCCTTTTTCAAATCTAGTGAGGGGGAAAGTGGAGGCCTTTAATAGAAAAAAGGGGGTCTTTGGGGTTTCCAGTTTTGCACAGTATAAAAAAATCCGGGCAGAAACAGAGGGTGTAATGAGGAAAAAAAAACTTTGACCGGGGTTTTTGGTTTTTAAAACAGTGACTTTCCCACTGAAAACGTGGACCCCCCCAACCAGCGATATTAATCCGTCCTGAAGCTAAATTTTTTAAATCAAAATTTAATCTTTTTAGCAATTTAATTTTCCCCCAAAAAGAAAAAAGGGAAATAAAATTTAAAACCTTTGAAAGGGAACATCCCAAAGTTTAAAAAAAAAAAATTTTAAATCACATGAAAATTTAATTTTAATCCCAAAAAAACTGAAGAAGACATGCCCCGGTTACATGACATTACCCTTTTTTTTGAAAAATTTTGGTGATGATTGAGGGGATGGGAGGGGGGGAGCCCGGGTTGATCTTTTAGTGTTTTGAAAGGGAAAACCCCCTTTCCATTAGAAACTTGGGGGGTGGGAAGTTTTTTTTCCTTGGGGTTAACTTCCCTTTTCTTTTAATGCCACTAGGCCCAGTTTCAGAGCCCTTTGGACTTTTGTGCCCCAACTTTTGTCCATAGATCCTGTAACCTCACCCCTTTAAAATTTTTCCTAAAGGGGTTCACAACATTGTCAGTGTACATTTGGGCCAACACGGCTTGCAGTAAGTTTTGTCGGGTTTGATTTTAAATAAAAAAAGGTTTTTGCCCCCTTCAACCACTTTGCAACATTTCCTTAATCTTAAAAGTGGGAAACTTTTTTAAAATTTCTCTATCCCCTCCCCCAAAGCAGTTTTCCCCCCAAGGTCTGCCTCTTGCGTTCAAGATGATTTTTGCGGGCTAAACCCGGGTGGTTAGTTCTTCTTTTCCTCCTCCACCACTTTTCCACATCCTCCCCAAAACCTCCAAACCCCCAAAGGATTTCCCCCAATGCCACGTTTCCCCTGAACGGGCCCGGGGAAATTCTCAGGGTTACCCCTCAAACCTTTCACAATCCCTTTTTTTCTACCATTCGGGCCACATTTTTTTTTCCCAAGCAGAGTTAAAGGGCCCCTCTTGGGTCATTCCCCCAAACCTTACCTTTAAGTTTCCCAAAATTTGAGGAGGGTTTAAAATGATTTTTTAAAAAAACCCTCTCTTAGAGTCAGTTGAGTTTCTAAATTTAAATAAAAACCCACCTTTTAAAAAAACATAGCTTTTTTTTAACAGTTTCTTGAATTTGGGAAAAATTTGACCTGCGGGGTCCAGGGGCCCCCCTGCGGAGGGGAGGGTATTAGGGGGGCAAAAACTTCCCCTTTAAATAAAAGCTCTTTTCCCCTAAAAAAGTCGTTTCGGGCCAAGTCGAAGGATGCCCGGGAGAGCATTCCCCCTAATCCCAAAGGGGGGGCACTTAAGGTCAAAATTTTTTTTAAATTTGGGAAATTTTTTTCACTTTTGGGGGCAAATCTTTTGTAAAAACCCAGTCTTTAAAAAAAGTCCCTAGAAGCCCCGCCTTACTTTTTTGCCCCCACAGCACACAAAAAATTAAAGCCCTTTTGACGACATTTTTTTTTCCTGAACACTTGGGGTTTCAGGATTTATACCCCAAAAAAAAGGTTTCACTTTGCAATCACCCCCTAGCTTTGGCACACATCAACAAAGTAACCCTGTCTTCAAAGGTTTAAATGCCCCTTGGGGAAGGGGCCTTTTCCCCCCGGGAGAAATTGACCCTGCTTGGCATTTTTTTCCCCCAAAACGGGGCCCTGTTTCGCCCAATTAAACACTTGTTCGGGTTTTTTCAGTCCTTCACGCTTGTACCCCTTTTGAATTCCGGGCCAAAATATTTTTCAAGGCCCGCTCTGTGGCCCCAAAACTGGCAGCCTCACCTTGCCTTATCACCCTATAAATTTGGCCACAAACAATTCTTAAATCTCTAAAACCAAACCCTTTTTGGGGCCCTTTAAAATTCACTCACCCCTTCATAGTTGCTGGCTTTTTTTTAATTAAAACGTCATGAACCCCTATTTTTTCACTTTTAAAAATGGGTTGGGGAAAAGCTATCCCCTTTGCTATTGTTTCCCCCGTT